AACATGATTTTTGGGTAGCAAGAACGATGACCGAAAATTTAAGAAGATAAAAAGGGGAAGAAGATGGAGGAGAAATGACGGGACGAAATGAGGAAAATTGAGGGTTTTTGAGTGGATAATTGAAGGAGAATTTTGTCATTTTATCAACTAAAATATTTTGCTTTATTTTTTTGTTTTTATTATTGGTCAAAGGCCATTTCACCAACTACATTGTCCAACTAGGCTAAATGGCCAAATTTCCCTTAATTTTAAGTGTTGTTAGTGAGTTTGGTTATAGTAGGAAGACCCAACCATAACAATCAAAGATTTATTCAATAATAATTTGAAAAGCTCTAGCTCTGATGATCAGAAAATAGCCTCGCAACGTGCTGCAAAAACTTATGAACTCTTACGAATCGTATAACACATTAAATGGCCCTTCATCATTATCAAGCTCCTATCATTGACTATTTGTGATAGAGTTCTGATTGTCTGCCCACGTTTCTTTTTTTACCTTCAGTTAAGAGTTTTGGCATATAATAAACAACTCAGTTTCTGATCTATCACGCAAGCTCATTTATACAGAAATATGTTCAAGGCAAAAAATAATTATGGATATACCTTGTGAAGCTGCTGGACAACTTCCAGCTGATCATTGTCAGCAGAAGTTTGGAACCACCCATCAAAAGTTTCAGCTGAGCTAAATATCTCCGGCAGCAAAAAGTTTAGGAGAGACCAAAGTTCGTGAAGATTATTCTGCACAATAAAGAATGTCACAAACACAGTCTAAATATTGGTAGCAGCCTCATACTGTATCGTAATAGAACATAACATGCAAAACAAAAGAAAAGATTGCGAAAATAAATAGATTCCAAGTGCATTTTTAAGAGCAAAACAACCAGAATGTTCATACAAGAACACAGCCAATAGTTTTCCAATGCCCAACATGAAAGTATATTATTTTTTCCCAAAAAAATAAAACATGCATAATTTTTTAAGTCAAGTTTCCATTTGTAGCAGCTCCATTTTCCTTGTATTTTAACTGTCCAGCAAAGTTAAAAAGGACTATATTTTTATGTACTCATCCAAGGCATTCTTGTACAGCTTCTTTACCAGAGAAACTTACAAGTTCCTATAGAAAATAACATCAAAGATTTCCAAATAAAGACAACTGGCAATAGAAGGGTATGAAGTTTCAAAAGCGTATTAAGCAACTGAAAAATGGAATAACAAACAACTTATCACAAGATAACCTGATATTTTACAGCCATCACCCTAGTTTCCACTTCAAGACATCACATCACAACTAGAAACAGTAGAACTAACAAAATATTTTCTGACTGAAGACTCTATAAATTAAAAATAGAAAAAAGGAAAAAAAATAGAATCTCACTACGAAAATAGGAAATCAAATTGTCCAGAAAATATAAACATTACCTAAAGTGGTGTTCCAGTAATAAGAAGCTGATAATTAGTACTGTAAAGTCTCATTGTTTTTGAAGGAAGAGAATTTTCATTTTTGATCCGATAAGCTTCGTCAATAATGATATAGCGCCAGCTAAAGCGGCGCAAGGCAGATTTCTCTTTGATGGCCATTTCAAAGCTAGTGACACAAACATCAAATTTTCCGGCAAAAAGTAACTCCTCACATATGTAACTCTGAAAGATTTGGGGGAGCAAAAATGTAGAATAAGATACCGGGAAATAAGAGTAGAAAAATAATATCTCAAATGGCACTTGAGGCTTACTCCTTCATCTGGATTTCCAAGAAACTTCACAGCACGCAACACAGGGCAGAAACGTTTGATTTCATTCATCCAATTGCCAAGAGTAGATTTTGGAGCGACAACCATGTGAGGGCCAGTAATTTCTCTAAATTCATGCAAGTAGCCCAGCAAGGATATGTTTTGCAGTGTTTTACCAACTACCAAGCCTCTGATGCTTTAAAGAACATCATCATTGTATAAATTAATGCACTTAGGGATACAAATTACTATTTTCTCCTCGTACCATTTCATCGGCAAGTATCCCATTAATGCCATTCTCATACAGTCTTATGAGTCAATTCAAACCTGCAAGTTGGTAATCCCTCATCTTTCCATGTATGCCTGCAAGACCAATATGTAAAAATTATAGCTGCTACATCATAACATAGAAACTTCCAACTTAAATCAGGAATGTCCAAAACCATGACATGAAATATATGGAACATCTTAGAGAAAAGCAACTTCATAATAGACCAAAAACAATTGATACCATAAACATATTTAACCATTGCCAAACAGTATAATCAGTTATAAAAAAAATTTCCTTTAATTATAACTGACAATTCCAATTCGGTACCATCATCCCAAAGGATAAGAAGGCAGCTAAAAGAAAGAGGGTTAGCGAAGGGATCTTACAAGAGGGCTGTGCCACTAGCCTTGTATTTCCTGTGCCAGAAAGACCATCTTCTTCCTCTTCAGTTAGCTTTGAAACATGGCAATCCCTACCAAATACAAATGCAGTAAAAAGACATGAGATCAGATTATAGATTATATAATATAATATAATGCACTATCTTGGTTATGAAACATCGCNCGGTGGCTCACTTTTTCTAAATAATGGGGAAGAGGACTGAAACATGCCACTGAAAGACTCTACTGAGACAAAGATGGGCTGTCAAGAACATAGAGGAGGTAGGATGGACAGTTGGTCAGATCTAGTATGTATCATACATGGACGGTAGTTGGAGTCGGCGGCTCTCCCAGGGGTCCCTATCACAAGCCAATTATTAAGATAAAAAACTTGCAAAACCATAAAACCCCTCACCCAAGTAAGCAATTCTTTTTTCTTCAATTAAAATAAAATTGGTAAATTGGAGAAAGAAGCTTTAATGCACAATTTACAAGTTAATTAATACATTGCTAACTTATCAAATATATTTCCACCACGTGAATATAATTTTTTAAATTCTTTTTCAATAATTTATGTTGAGTTTAGTTGAATCCAACTCCTCAAATATATCGATACGAACATTATATGTAGGAAAGATCAAGAGAACAATGCGAGTATGCATAATCTTTGATGACCAAATCTAAGACATGAACGTAATATTTTTTTATTACGAGCATATATTGCACGGCTAATGCACGGATGATGAGCTCATAGATGATACGAGATACCAAATATAACATGTGGCAGGGATAAAGAGATTATAAAGGGATCGTGAGAGAATTTCTCTCGTTTGAATTGTGAAAACTTTTCGGAAGTTTTATAGTTCTGATAAGAAGGAATCACTTGCAATCTCGTGTTTCCATGAAAAAATTAAACTCGAATAGTCGCAAACCAATTTATCAAACAAAATGAACTTTAAATAACTTAGCGACGTCCGTATATTTAGTTTAGTAACCATGCATGAGGTTGGTTTTGTAATTGATTACAAAAGTGTTGTCCTTTGTTATACATCTCAGGTAGTACAATTCCAGTATTTGAGAAGATATGTCTACATAAAGTGTGTATATGATGGAAACTACGACAAGCATTACACAACAAGTGATTTTAAACAATATGTTGTGCCCATCAGTTTCGTAGATAAATGAGTCGAGATATAGCACATAGCATCTTCAAAGACAGTGAGACATGAAATGATTTATAAGAACTTTAGAAGAAATTTTCTCTAAGGAACGGTTTCTTGTTCCCGTCACGTATGATAACTCGAAGTTATTTGAATTTAGCATACTAATCGTAATCAATTGCATTGTATGATATTTTTTTAAAAAAATTAGGCTTATATAGGTTTAAATTTTTTTAAATAAAGTAATTCAAAGTATAAAGTCATAGAGTCGAACTAAAATCAACACGAAAAAATAATCTTTAATTATTATATATTAATTATTACATCAAGTGAGAATCATTTTTTGAACAATTATAGTCCCACTACAATTCAATTATTTCAATAATACTTCACTTTTCATTTTTCAATATATATTTAATTTACAAACTATAATAAATATTACAAAATCCTTGTTCATGTATTTATTTTCTGTTATTAATTCTTAATTAATTAACATCAACATTCACGTCATTGTTATTAATTATCAATTAATTAACATTCATATTCATTTAGGCAATACTAATTAGAATTTCACATTCAAAAATGCATATCATCATTCACGTTCATGTATACTTTACTGTATGAATGTGTTATTGAAAAGAAATTTGAGAAGAAAAAAAAAAAGAAATTTTGTTTTAATGGTAGACAAACATGGGCTAAATTTGCTTTATTTGCACAATCTATTAGGAGAAGAACCGTAAAAAAGAGGTAGAAGCAACGTAATAAAGAAGACAATAATTCACTATGGACCCTATCAATTCGATTGAAAGCAAGCAAGAAAGTAACTCCCATATTCAAAACATATTTTACAACTTGACGGGAAAATAAAGTTGGAGGCGTTTCTAATTATGAGAATCGGACCGTCCTAGTGCGATTACTCAAATTGATCAATCGAGTTGTTTGCCAATGTGAAATTATCAAGTCATATTTACTAAATGAAAAAAAAATACACATTAATTGAATAAATTCATTGGAGGAAAACTCTAAAAATATTTAATGAATTTAATTTACCAACCAATTAAGTGGAATAAATCTGTCAAGTGTACATTCATCATAACTAAATAATTGACAAAATAATTTATGATAATATTGTTCAAATGATTAAATAAATCGATTACATATTGAAAAACGAAAAGGTAATGAATCTGTCAAATATGATTAAATAAATTAAATACATATTGAAAAACAAATAGTGGGGTAATGAATGTATCAAATGTACATTCATTATAACTAAATAATTGACAAAATAATTAATGATAACATTGTTCAAATGATTCAAATGATAAATAAATTAAATATATATTAAAAATGAAAAATAGAGTATTATTGGAAAAGTTAAATACATATTGAAAACGAAAAGTTATGTATTATTGAAATAATTGAATTATAGTAAGGGTTGAATTATCCAAAAAATTATTATCACTTGATGTGATATTTAATAATTTGTTTAGTTCCGCAATTATGAGGGTTAAATAACTTGTTGTTAGGATTATTAATGTATTTTATGTTTTAAAGTTAATTTAATTCAAAAGACTTTATGCTACTTTAATTATGTATTATTTTTTTATTGTTAGCTTAATTATATTCAATTATTTCAATAATATCTTATTTTTGGTTATTTAATATGTATTTAATTTACAAACTGTAATAAATACTATAATTAATTTTTAATTAATTAACATTCACATTCACATTCATTTAACTAATATTGATTAGAATTTTAAAAACATTTATTGTCATGTATATATTCCTTTTTTTTTGGACGAGTATAGTCATTCTAGAATTCAATTATTTCAATAATATCTTATCATTGTTTTTCAATATGTATTTTAATTACAAACTATAATAAATATTATAATTGATTCTCAATTAATTAACATTCACATTCACATTCATTTAACTAATATTGATTAGAATTTTAAAAACATTTATTGTCATGTATATATTCCTTGGTATTAATTCTAAATTAATTAATATTCACATTAATTCATGTATATTATTTGTTATTCATCTTCATTTTGTATTTAATTGTAATTCTAATACTCACGTTCAAATATACATTTCATTATTTATGTGCATATATAATAATTAACATTTATTTTTATGAGATTGCATTTCTCTTATATTTAGACTAAAATGGTAAATGAAAGGTTAAATATTACTTTCATGATATTTATAAAGTATTTTAGCACGTTCACTTTAACTATATTATTGCTATTGATGCAGCAAAAAAGTACAGTCCATCAAATTATCACATAAGTTAGACTAATGATAATTAGCACATAATGTCCTCACCTTTTACTGTTATTGTTGAAAATGTCCATATTTTTTATTTTTTGGCATTGTCACCCTCATTTTTACCTTTCATTGCGCAAAATGTCATTTTTATCTATTTTCTCAATTAAAATTTGTGAAATGACAAAAATACTCTTCCCTTTAAATAAAATAAGAGGAAAAAGAAAAAAAAAACTAATTGCAAACATAGTCCCATTTTTTTGAAAATTGCAAATAAGTCCCAAATAAATTACTAAAATGGTAATTAGCACATAATGTCCTTACATTTCACTATTATTGCGAAAAACATCGCTACCTTTTTTTTTTTATTTTTTTGCATTTTCTTCTTTAATTATAATTTGATAGCGCAAAGCCGCAAACCATCATTTCTATCCATTTTTTCAATAAAAACAGTGGGATGACGAATATACTCTCATATTTAAATAAAAAAGCTAAAAAATTAATTGCAACAATTGTTCCAATTTTTTAAAAAGTGCAAACGAGTCCCCAATAAATTAATTAAAAAAATTATTTTTTTTTATGAAAAGTGCAAACGAGTTCCAAATAAATTATTAAAGAATTAAAAATTAAAAAAATATATTTTTTATTGAAATATGAGTATATATTCATTATTTCTCTAAGGAACGGTTTCTTGTTCCCGTCACATATGATAACTCGAAGTCATTTGAATTTTCCATACTAATCGTAATCAATTGCATTGTATGATATTTTTTAAAAAAATTAGGCTTATGTGAGTTTAATTTTTTTAAATAAAGTAATTCAAAGTATAAATTCATAGAGTCGAACTAAAATCAACACGAAAAAATAATCTATAATATATTAAATATTACATCAAGTGAGAATTATATTTTGGACTATTATAATCTTACTACAATTCAATTATTTCAATAATATCTTATTTTTTCGTTTTTCAATATGTATTTAATTTACAAATTGTAATAAATACTATAAATAATTCTCAATTAATTAACATTCACATTCATTTAATTAATATTAATTAGAATTTCAAATTCAAGGATATCGTTCATATTCAAGTCCATATATGCTAATTAGCATCTAGTTTCACTTAATTAGAAATTAAATTATATTCATTTAATATAAATGATTTAACATTCATCCTGATATATACAATCTTTGGTATTATTTCTAAATTAATTAACATTCATGTTAATTCATGTATAGTATTTGTCATTCATCTTCATCTATACATTTAGTTGTGATTCTAATACTCACATTCAAGTATGCATTTCATTATTTACATGCTTGTATAATAATTAACATTTATTCTCAAGGGCTTGCAGTTCTCTTATATATAGATTAAAAGGGTAAATAAAAAGTCAAATACTACTTTCACGACACTTATAAAGTATTTAAGAATAACGTGCAATGGATGTTAACTCTGACCAGTATTATTAATATTGATACAACAAAAAA